AGCGCGCTGCTGTTGAGTCGATTCTGACCCATAGCAACCCTACAGGACAGAGTAGAACTGCCCCATAGGGTTTCCAAGGAGTGGCTGCTGGATTCGAACTGTTGACCTTTTGGTTAGTAGCTGAGTTCTTAACCACTGTGCCACCAGGGCTCCCCTGTAAAGATTACAGCCTAGGAAACCCTATGAGGCAGTTCTACTCTGTCACACGGGGTCGCTGTGAGTCAGAATCGACTTGGCGGCATGAACAGCTACAACATAGCCACAAGACAAGGAAGCACAAATGGAGGAAGACAGACGCCACATGGAGATCATCAAGGAACCCAGGAGCTTTGGGGTTACAGAAACTAAAAGAGATAAGGCCCTTCTCCTAGAGCTGACAGAGACAGAGCCTTCCCCTAGAGCCGGTGCCCTGAATTTGGACTTCTCGCCTCCTCAACTGTGAGAAAATAGATTTCTGTTCTTTAAATCCCGCCCCTTTGTGGTATTTGTTACAGCAGCGCTAGAGAACTAAGACACCCCCCCTCCCGTCTTCACCCTTTCGACCCTCGTTGCTGGAGGATGGGGGTCTGCCTGGGTGGGAGGCCAATACCTGTGAATCCTGTAGTTTTCGCAGATAGCCACCGTATGCGGCCCCGAGCTCTCGCTCATGCCGTACATCTCGCCGATCGGGATGTCCAAGCTGAGGAAGAACTCGGCCGTCTCTTGGGTGAGAGGCGCAGCCCCGCTTATGAAATAGTGGCAGTGGTCGAGGCCCAGGGCGGTCCGGACTTTGCTGAACACGAGGGTCTTCGCCATGCGGTAGCCCATGGGTGTGTCGTGTCCCCTGTGAAGAAGGGTGCCAAGGACAGTTCAGCAGCCTCGGAGCCCAGAGGGGGCTGATAGGACCCCACTGGAGAAGGCTGAGCCCCCCAGCCCTGCCCCCTGGACCCTCCACCTACCCCAGCATCCTTTTGTTGTTGACCCGCAAGCCAGTGTTTCTTGCCCATGAGAACACTTTCCTCTTTAAGGCTGCGGCCTTGGTGGTATTTTCCTTTATCTTCTCCTGCATCTTCTCCCAAACTCGGGGTACCCCCAGGAAGGAGGTAGGTCTCACTTGATGCAGAGTATTCACCAAGCTGCCCTGTGCGAGACAGCTGAGTCAGCCACACTGGCAGCCCCGACCCACCCCACCCCACTCTGCCCGGGAGAACCTTTCTTTGGCCGAATGGGCCACGTGGCCTCCGGACCT